ATGTATTAGTCTGGCCAATCCAAGACTTCAATGCTGAAGGGCCAATGGATCTATGTGGGGGTCAGCACAAAGGTCAAGAAAACCTACATTTGAAAGGGAGACAACGGATGACCAAGAAACAATTCCTTTTTAGGAGATCTGTGAAGAACATAACAGCTGCACTACTGGTATTTTGTATACCAGCAATTGCGGGTGGACAAGTTTACTACCACTTAAGTTCAATTAATTTTGTTAATTACTTATTGTAAAGCATTTGAACATTCTTTTGTGTCACATGTTCATGCACTTAAAGGTGACCTATCATGCAAAATGCACTTTTGTACGTCTTTTATACATGAATATGTGTCCCCGGTGTTCCAGGGAACTCACCAAGTGTCAGAAAACACAACCCTCTCTATTTTCCTCCGTACCCAAATCTCTTAAAAAGGGGCTGAAACGGATCTGATACAGACTGATCCAGATTTGAAGACTTCTATGACATCACAGAAGTGGCGCTACGGCTATTGGGCCAACTCCACCAATCAGGAGGAGACAGCAACGGACATTGCCGTTCGAAAGCGCTGGAGACGCTGTAGTACATATGCCAGGCCTGTAGATGGTGCTGTTCTCACAGAATCAGCCCATGATGCAAAGACAGTGTTAAATTGAGCGAAATGAGGAATGGCTAAAATGCATTTTGGTATTTTGAAAAATAAAAAGTATAAATATGCCTTATGGTCCTACACTATATTATTCAAATATAGCATGATAGGTCCACTTTAAGATATTCATTGCTATCGGGATGCTAAGAGCATTCCATGGAATATAACAAAAAGTGTATCTCGAGCCGGTTTCTCAAACTTACATACCCCACCTTTAACATCCCGATAGCAATGAATAAATTAAATGCTTTGACAATAAATACATATCAAATATAATCTGTGGAAGCCGTGGTGCTGTAAAAAGCACGACCAATCATCTGAGCCGGCCCGGCTAAAATAACTGGATGGCCTACCTGCCTGTCAGCCTTCCATCTGTGCACAAACTTATCTCGTGCCCTCATTGGTCATGTGCGCGTTCGTGTGTGTTGGAGGAGGGGCTCTGTAAGGAAGTCTGAAGGAAGAGGCAGATTTGTTCCGGTTGTGTATTTTCAAATTCTAGCGCACTCGAGCTGGTTTCTCCATTCTTACCTACCCTACCTTTAAGGTTGTGAATTCAGGATATGACTCTTGGGGGGTCTGTACCTTGAGCAGGGGGTGTATCTTGTCCACGGGGAGCAGTAAGGGGTTCCTCCTCTTGCGTTTCTCAATCGCCGACTGAGCGTCAGCGATGGCCCACTTATCGATCGGGTGGGGGAACGTTTTCTGGACGCGCTCCTGCAGGAAGAGGGAAATCACTCTCTTAACACTCGATGAATGTGGAAGCAGTCTTAATGTGTGCATATGTAAAAATGTGTCTGTTGATTGTGTATATATATATACACTGTAGGTATATACATATTTTTACATATATTTGTATTTTGTATTCAGGATTGTGGGAAATGGTATTTCGATCACTCTGTCTGTACACAAACTGAAAGATTGAGAATAAAGTTGACTTTGAAGATGAGTCGCTTTATACATTAAAAGTTTTAGCTATACTGTCTGTTATGTGAGATTGCACCATCGGAAATGATTGGAATTTCGCTGTACTCTGTGTAGTGACAATAAAGGAATCTAATCTAATCTAAAACTGAAATTTCGTAACTGCAATCTGTCAATTTACAACATTCACGTAATGAAGTGTATATTTGCGATGCGTCACCTCAACGTCCTGCACGGAGCGCGGCTGCGCGACACACAGCATGCTGAGCAGCTGCAGGATCAGCTCCTCGATGTGCTGCAGCGCGTCCTCCTTCGCCGTGAGGTTCGGGTGCACCTGCTTCTGCACCTGAGGGTGAGAGACAAGAGATTAAAAAGATGAGACGACAGCCGTGCAACTCAACCAGGAACATTTTCTTAAGTGTTAACGTATTGCTTTATGGAGCGTGATTGAGTCTTGGAAGATATTTTATTACTCTGGTTCTTGAAGGTATTAGCACTACGTGTTTTGATGTGTGATTTAGACAGAATAAGTCACTTTATTTGGGTCGAAATAGCTCTCAATTTGGACAAATATAAGCTTAGGCTACTATTTATTTAGTTTAATGTACTTTTATTGAATTTCAAATTATGAAAAGGTCGATATATATACATGAAAAGTTGTCTTTTTATTTGGCAAAAAAAGAACTATTTTTCCTATTTTTCTTTAATTTCTTTGAATGTTGATAGGACTAAAACAGTCCAAGACTCAAATGCCAAACTACTTTTTTAATTATCAGTCTAAAGTTATAATATCTAACATTTCTGGTTTAAATGTCTAAAAACATCCAACTGCTTAATTCACTGTCCTGGGACTTCTGAGAAATGTACAAAAAAATAGGTGCAAAAAAGTTGCCCCGTAAATGTTTTTAAAAAGGACTGGAAAAGATACCACCAAAACGCTTTGCAAAAAAGTCTGAAAAATGCTAAAAATACTCCTGAAAAATGTCAGCAAGAAGTCAACACAAGTATGTGAAACATGTCTGAAAACGCAGGGACATGAAGCCTACTACACATATTTTCATTTTAGTCCAAAGTTCACAAGAACCATCCGCATCTCCAGCCTCAAATTGAGTTTCAAGACTCTGTAAACCATGTATCTCTGAGCAAATACATTCTCCATAAAAAGGTAAACAAACGAACATTTAAAAAGGTCTCTATTGGAGATGTATGAAGTCATCCAGGCTCTTAGTAGAGGGACTCCTGAGGGAGGAGCCAGCCTGACAGGAGGAGGCTTTAGGTGCAGAGGTGGAGTGAGAGAGAAACTCCCCCCCCCTCCAAAACCTCCCAAAAGTTGTCGTCATTGGGCCGTACCCTCTCCCAGGAATGTTGTCCGTTGAGAAACTATTATAGCACCCAAAGCAGACTTAGAGGGGAGGAAAACATACTATGTGGGAGAAACCGAGCATTCCCTCTCGTCTCCTCTTGAGAAACCTGTTCACATGTGAGTGATGGAATTACTCTGGTATAAAGGGAAGAGGGGCATTTTGATTAGAGCGGCACGGTTTGGAAAGAAGTTGCTTTTTGTCATTACATTTTTTTTTTTAAAGAGTATCTGAACCAAACATATATTTTTAGGTCTGTAGAATATCCTTTGCAGGCCGGGGTATCTCTGCAGTGCCACATTACTTCATTAACATTTTATAACATATTTAGCCTTTAACAAATATTGTGCTTCCTGCTATTTGAATAGTGCACGAGTCAATATTTAAATGTTTCACCAAAATATTGATTAATTGTGCAAAATAGGAGAGAGGGGGGTTAACTGGTTAGTTACCTTAAAACCACATGTTGAATTTATACATATTGTATTTTTTACATATAATAGTAATCTTAATCAGAATACTTTAAATGTAATACAGTTGCTCCATCTTAGAAGCAAATAATCGAGATAAATACATTTAAAGAATACCAATATTTACCTAAATGTTAGAAGTTAAAGTGAAAATATGCAATAAAAAGATAAAATAAGAATTCATATAATTGATAAAAAATAAAATGTCAGAGAAAATTAAACACAAATTTGACTTGTACTGCAATATTTAACATATAAAAAACATTATTTACAGTAATATATACACATGGATATAACATCATATACACTGGTATATTTATAATCATATATACATTTGATCCGTTTATCGCACATTATTTTATTTATTGAACAATTATTTTTGGTAAATTTTCAAACAAAAATAGGAAAAAAAATTATTTTCCAGCTTCTAAAGAAATTCAAAAATCTGCTGTATTATTAATATAAAAGTGAACTGAATACTTTGGACTCTCTTCAGACCTGTTCACATGGCGGTGATGGAATTACCCTGGCATAAAGTAAAGTGGCGCTTTATGATGACACAACGTTGCCCCCGTGTTGAGGAATGTGAGAGGAGAGTAAAAAGGTCAGCAGCGAGCGAGCGCCATGCATTCCTCTGCTCTGACTCCACAGGAGGAACCCTCTCTGTGTGTCAGCTTCGTCTGCTCAATAGAAAACTCACTTTAGGCGACAACTAAAGACCCTCTAGATCTGTTTAAGAGTCATTAACAAAAAGTCCCGGCGATTGCGTCTCTGCACGTCATTTTCTATTTCCGTGCACACTCACAAGACCTGACGGGTATAAATAAGCCACAAGAATAAACTCTGCCACTTGGAAAACATACATTTCAAAGCAGAAGTGGATTATAAGATATATCCTCTCTTACACAAATAGGCACTTGATCAAATTCCACAGGAGAGCAGGAGCGGTGAGTCACGGGCTGAAACTACGGGGGTTTCCCCGACACACACACACACACACACACACACACACACACACACACACACACACACACACACACACACACACACACACACACACACACACACACACACACACACACA